ACAATGAAACATACCCAGTAATTCAGAAATTTAGTGTATTTATGCAGAGTCGGGCAAGGCAGAAAACACTTCTGGAAATAAATTTCTGCTAATAAAATCATTCAGATTATTTTTTCTACTAGTTTTAAAGAAAATATCAGTTTTCTGAAGTATCAGTTTTCTGAAATGTGGGCCAATAGATACCCGCAGGTCAAACATCTCTGACAGAAATATGTAATGTTTAGAGGTTTCCACTGTGTTACACTCTTCATTACTATGAGACATGCAAGGTGGGAGTTCCCCACTGAATATGTTCAAAAGCACAGGTTCTAAATAAAAAATTCCATGTTCAACAGGATAGTCAGTGGTGTTTCATCACTGGATGCTGATAACCCATCCAAACCTGCCTGTTTCCTTAAAGGACCCTCAGTAAGATGAAGGTGTTCCATGACACAATTTTTTGCAAGCTTGTAATGTATTTTTTATCAATGTAGCTTCTTCCAAATATTAATAATATATGTTCTCCTACTTCTACTGTGAAATCTTTCTTTTTTTTTCAGCTCAGCTGAGTTCAGAAAATAAATTTAAACTTTATCCTGTGAAATTTAATATTGTCTTATTTGATAAGGTAACCAACAGCAGAACTTCTTTGGCATAAGCCCTTTACAAAACTGTGCTCCTGATTATGTGATGCAAAAACATTTACTCTGCAGCAGTCTGTGTTAAAAGAATCTTCAGTCTTTTTCTTCAGTCCGCACTTCCTGGCTTTCTTGACCAACAGTGAGTAATGGGATATTGGAGGTCTTAACTCCCAGCAACACTGAGGGGTCCTTAAATCTTGCCAGGCCTGAACTTGGCACCTATGTACACCCGATTTTAAAGGCTTATTTTTCACATAAACTTAAATTCTGTACAAACATTGTTTTAGCTATGGTAGTCAAGCAAATGACAAACTCCGTTTCCTGGCAGGTAGTCATTCTGAATCACTACATTTTCAAGGAACAAAACTGAAAAGTACAGTTGCTATGTTAGAAATTCATACTCCACTTTTTCTCTATCAGCTCTTTTTGTTTAGCTGTAATCAGCATTGTGTCTCTGTGAAATTCAGGCACACTGCACATCATCTCACATACCACTTAACCAAAAATGGGACTGGCTAATTAAATCCCCATTGATCAGGATTGTTGCCTGTAACATACCAGAAGAAAGTCTTTACCAAGCTTGGTCCAGTTCACCGGAGTCCCTACACTGATGTTTTAGCTTTTAAGCCATATTAAGTGTTTTTTATTTTCAAAATCAACACAAACCTCCAATGTTATTCTCCTGTTTTGTTGAGAGTCACTGCTGTAATTTGTCTTTTGGGACATTTGATATAATAGAAAGAAAAGGTTTTCAACCTTATTAGCATGCAAAGCTCAGGACAAGCTTGGTCTCTTGTGTGTGTTTTTTTACTCCTTCATAGCAACAACTGGGCAAAGATGTCATAACTGCAGTTCATGCATTAAATAAGACCTCAAGGCTATCTCCTTCAAAGAGGATGATATATTCCATGCTTTCTCTGTGTCATGAAAACTGACATTATGTGAAGTTTGTATATTTTTACACCATCACAGTAGATGAAGGCATACAATAAAATAGAAAATTCCTAAGGCCCCTAACAGCAAAGGTGGTAAAATATACAACTGAAAACCAGATGGGAAAGAGCACAGGGCCCAAGAAGCTTGCCAATGTACTGAGTTTTTCAGTCTCCTGACAGTTATATTATTTCCTCTTGTACCTGTGATACCCTTTCAGCAGCAGCGGTTCCAGCTTAAAGGAAGGAGCAAACTGCAGTGTTGGGCAGCTTAACAAGCACTGAGGATGAGGACAGTCAGAATGCTAGTACTAATAGGACCTCTAGGATGATTTGTTTGTTGATAAGATTTGAAGCACCTCACAAGTGTTTTGATAGCGTGTCACGAAACTTAAAGGGACACCATGTGAGCTTTGACAAAATAAAGTAAGATTGGACAGGGGTTGAAATTTAGGCTAGCAAGTGAAACCTGAAGTTGAGTACATTCATAGTAGCATAGTCTGAAATTGTCTCACCATGTACAATCAGGAGACAAAGATGCAAAGACAAAGTTTTAAATGCCTGGCATTTAAAGGGATGCAGAGAAGTGAGTCAAAATGTTGGAAGGTCAGAGTATTTGCTAAGGAATTGGTGCCCATAGAAAAGATGTAAATATCATTTTTACCATAGGAAAAACAGTCCTCAGAAAGTTAAAAAAGTCTTCTATAGCCATTGTGATACCTGGCTAAAAAGTTCAGGAGAATTTGCAGGTGTTGGAAAACACACAAATAAAAAAAATGCAAAAGTACACAGTTCAGGTAAAGGGTGCAATGACCAGAATTCTGCATTCTTCACTGGAGAATGCTACAAAAAGTGATGATAGTCCAGTAGGAAATAAAAAAATGGTATTTCAGACAGAATCAAACTAGGGACAGGAAAGAGGAAAAAAGAAAGCCATAATATAAGGCCAAGAGTCAAAATGGGAACTAGTATGAGTAGCTTTACTGCCTAATGCTAAACAAGAATATCAGCATAGTAGCATATTCAATATCTGTGGGAAAGAAGAAAATCAGTCAGGCAGCATACTATCAAGAAGTAAAATACACAGGAAAGACACAGCAGACCTTATCAGTGGAGGAATAATGATGCTTGTTAAAGGAAGCTCTGTCAAGCAAGACTTGAAGAAGAGAACAGTATTAACACTAGCTAGTCATGAAGAAGTTCTTTAGTTCTTCTAAATTTTACAGCAACAATAATTAGTTTAAAAACAATATCTGTGCAGGAGCAATAAAAGCCAAAATTACAAGATGGTTGCACTCAAATAAATAACAATAATACTCAGTTGAATTAATAATAATAATAGTAATAAATGGAAATAAATACAACTGAGGGATATTGTTGTAGAAAATCTGAATGGGATAGCTGAGACTGTTAGATCGCTGTGGGTGGTGTGGGACATCATTTTGAAGACCCACAGCAAATGCACACATCCATTAAAAAGCAAATATGTAAGGGCAAACAGCTAATAAAAGCAAGAACACATCTTTCAAAAAAGTGAAGTTGTGTCTCAGGCAGGAGAATAGAAAGAATTATAAAATCTGCTTCATCTATAAAACCACAATAAAGAAGACAGAAACTGAGTTTGAATAAATAATAAATAAATAATAATTGTCTTTTAAGACATCTGGAGGCAAAAGCCTGAGAGCAACTGCGTAAAGCCAACCCAAAACTGACATATAGAAGTTCTCAGAAAAATAAGATCACAAATGTAAAAGTGAATACATTTTTTTCTTTGTTTTAAGCGAAGAATACCTGGGGACTTTTTTTTTAATCCTGGAACCCTTCTTTATAGGGGACTCATGAGAAGGTTAAATTAGCTATAGAAGCAGTTGTGGAACAAATGGACACAACAGTAACAAATCATTGGGATTAGCTGTTACATGCCCATGAACCTGAAGGATGAAATAGGGGAACTATTATGATGTGCAATATTTTGCTTCAAACCACTGTGGCAAAAGAAGGCTTGGAGGTACTCATATAACACTGATTTTTTTCCCAAAGATCTCCAGGGAGTTTAGGGGAGCTAAGGATGGATATGACCGACATGCAGAGCGAAAACAGCAGGAGCAGAAATAATGGACTCAGAGAGAATATCCCATATTGAAAAAAAGAAATCAACACAGTTTTTCTAAAAACTCTTATTTTCCAATGTTTTCTGAATTCTTTGAAGAGGTTAACATGCAGGTAAGTATGTAAGGATGGATACAAAACAAAGGAGAGGAAGCTGTTTGTTGTGGTACGTATGATTAATCTGCGTACCTCTGATATAAAACGTGGACTCTGAAATTTTACAGAAGTTTCAAAGCAACAGGGTAACTTGCTGTAAGAAAAATACCTTGAGGGTTGTTAAATACAAAGACACTAACAAAACTAAAAATAATTAGAAACTTAGGAAATTTTGTGCAGTATTGTTTAGCCTGTTTTTTGGATACCCTCCAGATGTGAGAGAGAGAAGGAAGGACCAGATGGATCCTTCTCTTAACATGGTCATTCTTACATGCCTGTAGAAACACAACACATTTTCAGACTGAGTAAAAGAAGAAGGAAAATGTTTACATGAGAGAAAGCTTCACAATTGTGGATATGGTTTTGCACCTATGGAGTATTTATAATACCTACGGTGGGATTACAATTCACAGGCAAGAAAAGAGGTGCAAAGTAAAAAGCTGCCACGATCTTACTGCAGACTCATACAAGTATTCTAATTTGCCTTAATAACAACTTTTAGCAGTTAATTATTTTGACATAGTTATCAAGGTTTATGCTTGATTAATTTCTGCATTTCAAAAGTATGGGATACACAAAACTTCAATAAATTTACGGAGAGAAGTAAGTAACAATCCATCTAGTCATACCCAGACTATGAAACTCGAAATTAGCATTCTTCTGAAAAGCTTCATTTAAACTAATTAATGGGAAACATAATAAATTATCAGTGGATGAGCACTATTTTGAGTCTGCAAGTATTTTCAAGGACAGATATAGTCTTCCGGGCCAAGATGCATTAAAATCTGTTTCTGAATATCATAACAATAATGTTTAGCATAAGCTAACTCTGTCTTTGGTACCCAGAATTTACCTGGAAGGGTTATAACCTTTTGTCATTTGAAGGCATTCACCCAGTTTCCCTTGACAAAATAGTATTTCACAAATCATTTCTATAGTGTAAACTAAATGGACTCTTAGGCTCGGGCTGGTCATGTGGAATGATTATATATTTCCTCTAAAACATTCAACTCATAATTTCAAATTGAGCTTTATATACTTTAAAAACCAAGAAAATTCTATTTTTTTTTTTCATCATATATTGTTCTTTTTCCAGAATCTCAGTTCCTTATCTAAAGGATTTTTAAAATTAATACCTTCAGTCATACTTATTTGAAAATTAGTGCTTTGGAATACTACATACTCTTAGGAAATCTGGGCGGGTTGTCGTTGACATCTGTGAGAGTAATGTTTACAGTGGTAGTACCAGCTAATCCTCCCAGCTGTCCTCCCATGTCCTTGGCTTGGATTAGAACTTGATATTGTTCTTTCACTTCTCTGTCCATATTTGGCAAAGCTGTTCTTATTACACCTACAAGAAGAAATGGGAAAGAGAAGGAACAAGTAAACAAAGGGCTCTTACAATTTAATACTGGATCTCTTGGACCAGGAATAGAATTCTTCTGAAAGGGTTGACAAGAGAGGAGTTCACAAAGAAACACAGGCAAATCACTCAGACTTTTCAAAAGTGTGTTCATCAGCTATTCAGCCACTCAAAATTACTGTTTTGTCTTTTCAAGAGGAGACGAATGGGTGAAAGAGAATGGTGCATTTTCACTAGGGATATGAATGGTGTGATAGCTTCACCACATCGGAGATGAGGAACTCTTCCTTGTATAGAGTACAAAAAAGGTGGACAGATCTGATGGCATTGCATTTCAGAGCCTGCATCTTCAGTTGTTTCCCACCAATCACTTGCCAACAAATTTAAACTACTGTAGGCCGAGACAACATTCCTCTGTACAAAAGGAGGTCTTTATTAGAAGACTCTTCCTTTGCTTGAGAAATATTTCTTGATATAGCACAAAGATGCAATGAAAATTTGGGGCATTTCCTTAAAAAAAGTAATTAAAGTATCATGGTAAGACATTACCACAATGACTCTTAATCTTCAGTGATTTGGGACATCTGATATCTAAGTAGTATGCCATAATCTCCCTTCTGATATGTTAAGAATGTATGGGAAAAAAAGAAGACTTAGAGAGAAGAGGGAAAGAGAGACACATGATACTGAATGCAAAAATTAGCTGATAAGGTCATATAAAGCTATAAGCTTTCCGGCACTCAAACCATTTTCTTGAAATAAAATGTGTAGGAGAAAATGCATTTCTTTGTCAAAATTTTTCAAGTGTGTATAGCATTGAAAAATGCTATATGTTCAGCAATATTTTTCAGAAAATGGCTAGGTTCACTTTGGTGCAGATAACATGAACAATTGAAAGATAAACCAACTGGAAGTATGACTCTTCCTTGTTATTATTGATTTAGAAAGTATTATTTTCTAGTAGTAAACCATTTGAGACTAAAAGCAGTTTTTCTACCCTGGTGTTATAATGGGTCTGAAATGACAAGAAACAAATTTTAAGGATAATTTTTATCTTTATAGTAACTAACCACTGCTCTGTTAATGAATAAGAATAGGAACCATTAGCTTATAGCACTTTTTCAGAGTATAGAAATAACTTTGACCTAAATCTGCTATTTCTGGGACCTATCAAAAATTCCCACTGAACTGAACTGTATAACAATTTTCTTTCTCTCCACTTGTAACATGATGATAATGACAACCTATTTAGGAGTCACTGTTCTCCTTCCTCAGGATGGCATTTACTATCCTGCTTGCAGTTGTTCCAGAACAGAAATATTGAATTATAAAACTGCAAAATTTATTCATATTCATGTGAGATTCATGAAAAAAAATAATTTATAAATAGGATGAACATTAGTAAATTTCCTCTTGAATCTCTTAATCCATAATTTGGCATTGTGGAGCCTATGTGTTCCACAGTATCTTATAACATCCTTGGTATGCTCATTCTAAGAAGAAAAGAGCTACAAGAATGAAAGACCTCTTGTGTTATATCAGCAATACAAAATAACATAGAACCATAGAATCACAGAATATGTGAGTTGGAAGAGATGCATCAGAATCATCGAGTCCAACTCCTGATCCTGTGCAGGACAGCCCAAGAATCACACCATGTGCTTGAGAGCATTGTACAAATGCTTCTTGAACTCAGACAGGCTTGGTGCTGTGACCACTTCCCCGTGGAGCCTGTTCCAGCTCTCAGCCACCCCCTGGGTGAAAAACATGTTCCTAAAATCTAAGCTAAACTTCCCTTGAGTCAGCTTCAAGCCATTTACTTGGGTCATGTCACTGGTCAGAGAGTGCAGAGATTGGTACCTGCCCCTCTCGTTCCCCTCAAGAGGATGTTGAAGACTGCAATGAGGTCTCCCTCAGTGTCCTCTTCTCCAAAATGAACAAACCAAGTGTCCTCAGCTGGTCCTCATAAGATCTTCCCTCCAGATTTTTCACCATCCTTGCAGCCTTCCTTTGGATGCTTTCTAGTAACTTAATATCTTTTTTTTATATCGTGGTACCCAAAACTACATGCAATATTCAAGATGAGGCCACACCAGTGCAGAGCAGAGTGGGACAATCACCTCCCTCAGCCAGCTGGCGATGCTTAGCCTGATGTCCCCCAGGACACGGTTGGCCCTCCTGGCTGCCAGGGCACTGCTGACTCATATTCAACTTACCATTGACCAGGACTCCCAGCTCCCTTTCTACAGAGCTGCTCTCCAGCATCTCATTCCCTAGTCTATACCCACAACCAGAATTGCCCTATCCCAGGTGCAGAATCTGGCACTTTCCCTTGTTAAACTTCATACGGTTGATGATTGCTCAACCCTCTAATTTGTTGACGTCTCTCTGCAGGGCCCCTGTGCCCTTCAAGGGAGTTGACAGCCCCTCCCAAATTTAGTGTTGTCTGCAAACACTACTTAGTATTCCTTCGAGTCCTGCATCCAAGTTACTAATGAAGATGTTGAAGAGAACCGGGCTGAGGATGGAGACCTGTGGAACCCCACTAGTGACTGGATGCCAGTCTGATGTTACCCCAGTCACTATAACTTTGTGCCTGATCTGTGAGCCAGTTGCTCACCCATCATGTAACATGGTTATTCAGCTCTGTGTTGAGCATTTTCTTTCAAAAAGCAGTATCCAAAGTTTTGCTCAAGTCCAAAAAGATTACAGAAAAAGATTACAGAAAAAAATGGAACACATAGCAGGTTGTGAGGAGAAGATGCAGTTTATCTGGTTGATATATCTATTCTAGGTACAACTGTGTGGCTTCCTTGGAAATATTTCACATGGTTTTCAGAAAATGAAGAATGGGCTATCACTGTAGTAGAAAAGTTCCAAATCACCCACTATTTATTCCTGTCTGGAAGTGTAAGCCTATTCTATATATTTTTTCCTTTAAAAACCCTTTATCTTCAGCAAAAAAAAAAGAATGAGAATAATTTTCATGTCTAGCAATTCATAGGCAATTTTCCTTTTTCTGCCTACTCCATTTCAAAAACCTGAGACAAAATCCTGAGAAATATTATTTTCTCCAAGATCATTGGTTCATATGGACAGAACAAATGTGATTTAGAGTTATTTTACCTCAAAAATAGAAAAATAAAGTAGATGTAAAAATCCATGGGAAGAAAGGGCTACAAATGTCAGTATGTCAACTTCAGTTTCAAAAAGAATATCCAAATTTAAATCAAGGGCTTACTGTAATATAGAGGTCTTATGTGCATGTAATGATGTTCTGAGTGATTGTAAATTCTTTTACCTTAAGATTTTACAGTAAAGATTATTAAACTACAGAACTGAATAAATTTGATTTTTTTGTGTGTTTTCAAATGTCATCAATATCAAATATGCAGAAAAGTATGGTCTCCATCATACTGCTGAAAACTGCAAATATTATGTATGAAACCTGGGCCAGAAGATGTTCTATGCAAAGTTATTGATCCATTCACTTACACGGAAAAGAAAATCCAGGTTTCATGAAAAACCTCCAGAATAATTATTAACAACAATACTCTTGCTGACATTAATTTGGATTTCAATAGTATGACTGAGGTCAGAAGATGGACTAGAATACTGAATCTAAAAAACCTAGAGACATTTAGCCATAAGTAACAATATTGACCTCAGAAACACATCAGAAAATTGGGCGGAAAGGACAGTTTAATGGTGGAAATGGACATTTTCGTAACAGAACAGAATTTGCAGAGGAAAGATATGAGAGGTTATCTCCTTTAAGACAAGTGCTTTGTGTTAAAAAAGCCCTCACATTAAAATCAGAAGAGCAATTTTATAGCATTAAAAAGTACTCCCCACATATCAGATTGGAGGTCTTAGACTGTGCCAGTCTAATGGTTGCTCTTCAGAAGATATTTTCATGTGTTTAACCTCCCTGAAATAGCAATAAAAGCTTGCTTTTCCACTTTCACGTGGTTTGCTTATATCCAACAAGAAGACGGAAAAAGATTAGGTTAGTAAAGAAAGGGAGTAAAGGGGCAACTGTGTCATTTAGACCCATAGAAGTTAAAAACTATTTAAGTGTACTAGTTTTATATCAGAATAAATGTTTATCACCTATTAGGAATGATTTGAGAAAGGAGCAGGAGTAAAGTCCTGTGCTTGACAAACAAAACCCTTGTTTCACATATAAAATTAGGGTCAGTGGTCTCACCATCACTGCTTTGTAATGAGATCTTGAGGTAGTAATAGAAATTTCCACAAACGTATCTGCTTTTGAGTGGTAGAAGCTAAAAAGAAAACAATGTTTGGAACTGATTGGAAAGGAATAAAGAACAAAAGTGTTATGATTAAACCACTGTATGCATTCATATCAGCTGCCTTCTTGAATACTGTATATACCTTCTCATCCTGAGGAGAAGGATGATCAGTGTTATGGAGTGGCTTCTGTTTAATTATGTCTTCAATGAAGGGGCAATTGGGGAACAACATGGGTATATAAGGTCGTGGGGAATAGGAATAAATAAGAATTACTGTTCACTGTCTTGTGCAACATGTGAGATATGAAACAAGTTAAGAGGTGTCCCTATTTCCAGAAAGCAAGAAGAGCTGGTTCTTGACCAAAATAAACCTTTGCCATGGAATTTCTAGTAATTTGGTGTGCAGATACCATGCTCCTGTAATATTCAACTCTACTGGGAAATGGAAAAGTTATAAAGGAGAAATCCTTTCAGAGTTTTAGTTACTTCAACACTGCTAGTCACCCAGGAACTTTGTAGGAACAAGTTTTTGAAGACTAGAAGAGTATGCTGAGGGTGCATCACTAAACACTTATTCTTCATCCTTCACTAGAGCTAAGCAGGACACCACTTTTGGAAGTGTTATACAGGGCAGCATGGATCTCTGGCCTGACTTAGTATGAAATTTTAGGTTCTTTAAATAACTAGCAAGGGTATGTCTCAAAATTGTCACTAGAATGCAAGAGATGACAAAATAAGCCAACAACAACCCCAAAAATGCTTATCCATCTACTGGCAGTTCTGAGTTTGTCATTTTGTACCCAAATGGCTTTCAACCAGATCTATTGATACTGTCTACATGAATCAAAAAACAAAGCTTAAATCTTTCATGGTTGCTGACAAACTATTTACCTGTCTTGGGATCAATGGAGAAATATGGTTGCCCCTGAAGAATACTGTAAACCACTCTAGCACTGTTTCCATAAGTGGGATCATCAGCATCTGTTGCCTTTACTTGAAGCACATACGCTCCTGCAAAGAAACACAGGTAATCACATTTTTAGCATAGAGCAGAGATCAGGGAAATTTCAGACATATTAGTCTTGTTGCTCATGGATCCTGTTGCAATTGCTGTTCCACTTCCACTAAAAACAAGGTGAGAATAAAACAGTTAATTCTTCGTCTCCATGCTAGGAACCATCTAGGTAATAACTGAGACATAATGGGGAAGAAAAGTAAATAAGTGCACCATCAGAAGATACTTCTAAACAGTTTATGATGCAAGCATTGTTTGCAAAAAAGTTTTTACAAAACACATACAGGATGGAGGTTTGGTTAAGCTCAATACTGAATTTTGAAGAAGGAGCATATCCCACCACTTTGTGAAAAAGTAGACAACTGTGGAAGTAAAATGAAAGTTACCTCTAAAACAAGCATTTGATCAAGCAGCTCCTGAATTTCCAGTGAAATTAAATGAATCAAACTCTAAACACCATAAAAAGCTACTGCAGTCTCCAAAGGGTGCAATTCATATTCCCACTGTAGAATGAAATTAGGTGTTTAGTTCAGCCAGTTGTCCTCAAAATCCAGACTTGAGTCTCTTTGCCTTTCCAGTACAGCTCAGTAGGAAACAGAAGTACTGTGGAAGGAGGACATTGACACTCTATTATCAGCCATGGTTATAGACCAGACCTAGTGCGATTTCCTTTGCATTTCAATTTAAAAGGGACCCACAGAGCAAAAGAAATACTCCTGAAGATAGAAAACTCACTGTAAATGGCAATAGTCTGCAGAAATGTCTTGTCCATCGTGGTTGCTAAGCAATTTACTTGCATTTACCCACTGCCCCATCATTAAAATAGTGTTCAAATTATAGTCTTCAGCAAAACAAACAGTCACATAGTTGGGTTTTCCCATAAGCTTTGAAGAATTGTTTCCTAAGATCTTCTGTGCCACTGAATGTTGGAATTTTCAGTGCTGATTTGGAGCAAATGAGGGTTGACTACATAAGAAATGGCACAGGGGTGAGGGTAATCCCCACCATTTTTGTTTTAAGAAATATCATGCATTTGGAGGTCATTTGACATTTTTCGAGAACACTCATGGAATACTGCAAACACTTCAAGACTGGTACTTTTCTTCAGTGAAAACTGGCAAGTTTCAAAGAATGCTCATGATCTGAAATTAACTTTGTTGGACTTGTCAAAGTTTATTTCTGGGAGAGCCTCACTGAGAGATGTTCCATGTGAAAGGTCCTATGTCTTAGGCAGGAGAGTAACTGATAGCAAAGGTAACTATTTGGGGAATATCTTTTCAGTGCCTGCCCCCCTAGTCTTATCATATGAGGACTGACATCAGTGCTAAAAGGTTTGGGATTAACATTGTAAAAATATTTGCTGCGTGATGGCAGGTCATATAAGATGTCTCCTGTTACAGTTTATTGAACAATAGAGAATTTAAAGGTATTCCAAGAGATATTCTTTCTTTCTTCTGAAGAAAACACAAAAAATATAAGTGGTATTTGACTAAGTTTTTAGAGTTAGTGGGCTGATCATGTTTTTAAGCTGAGGGCAAGTTTCATTAAAATTGACTTCTAAAAGAAAGGAAATATTAGCGAATAATAAGTGAATGAATGAATGAAATAAACCACTGAGATGAATTCAGTTATCTAAAACCCTGAGGTTACTCTTGATTTGCTGAATGAAAGGTGAAGAATGATATGTGTTGGAGAAGACCAAAGTCCAGTCTAACAGTTGTGGAAGTAGTGCCTGTCTGAACACTTGTGTTTTTACGTAACACATAACCATGATTGAATATACATTAAATAGGTTAGGCAAGACCAGCCAGAGGAATACATTTTCTTACTGGAATGACAGACAGAAGACATCTAATAACAATAGAACATTTGATGGCCTTCATCTGTTCCTGTCCATAAGGAATATTTTTATAATAGGATCTCACACTTTCAGTCCTGTCTGCTACTCCAGATTAAGATCGAGAAGGAAAAGACAGCTTTCAGATTTTCCCAACTTCCCTTGAAAAAACTGTATATCACTGCATGTGTCACATCCAGACTCTTATTGTTGTGGAAGAAAAGGCAAGATCTGGATCAAGTGCATTGACAAAACATTCCATGTCCACTTACTGTGCAGCACAACACTGCTTCCCAGTATACACACAATTGTCTTCCTTCATTGCTACAGTATTTCACTGCCTTTCAAACCTAAAGAGTTCAGTATACTTTTTCCACTGAAAAGCTCCTTTTTAACACAGTTGTTGCCTTTTTTCCTCTTTACCAAATTGTTCCGTCTTCCACTGTGTTCTGATCTTAGGCTGGTAAGTTTTTCTCCTCTCTTGAGCAAAGCACCAGATTCCCAGATGTTCAGGTTTGAATTGGAAATACGTGAGTGAGTGCCCTCTGAAAAGTATGCTGCTACGGCACTGGTTTAGGACAATAGCCTGCATTTTTGCCAAAGAAAGGTGGTGCTGTCACACATTCCCATTTTTCTCCTTGAACCAGGACTTGTGTTTCTGATGCCACACTGTTGCTACTTAAGGGACCCAATTTTACTTTGTCTTCTGAGTACTGATTGACAAAATTTTAATTTAGAATTTTACCATGTAGGCATCCACACTCATGTCACGCCCCTGCTGTTTGCTTCTCAGTGTGTCCATGTACCAATTATGCACAAGTAGGCATTTGAAACACCACAGGTGAATCCATAGCTATGTCTGACTTCTCACACAAAAATGTGACGCTGCAATGTGAAGGAAGCAGACAGTGGCCATCAAACAACCTGAAAATTCTGCTGATGATCCCTGCACACACTGATCATTAGTTGCCTAAAATATAAGTTTAGATATTCCTAATTCCTAGGTATGTGCTGCAGGTAATTCAAACTTACTACTCAAAAAGAAGAAATGTTGATTTACAAGCTAAGTTTTATTAAGGCAGACATACAAAGTCATATTGTAGCCTGATAAACAGCAGGCAATGAATATGAAAAATAATCCATTTTGTGTTGACAGCATTTTCAACTGTATTAAGTCTTCTGTCAGATATTTTACAACTAACAAATAAGAGGTAAAGCTTATATTTTCATGAGAGGCCAGACATGTTTGTTTGTTTGATTTGGTTTGTTTTGTTTTTTTTTAATATGCCTCCAGTCATTTACTTACTTAAATGCATAATTATTGTTCTAACTAGGTTTTCTGAAATTGGTTTCTTATCCATTCAGTATTATCAAGCATTGCTCTTTGCATCTAACGAGCTTTCTATTATATTGCAAAGTATGGAACCCATATATTTTTTAAAGTAGATTCTCAAAAGTAATTATTTTTTTCCAGGCAATAATACACTACAATAAATCTTTAATGCACAAAGGTAGTGATGGAGGATCACATTAACTATAATTCATGACATTTTAATTAAAATATGCAGTTACTATATGAAGGAAAAAATGAACAAAAAAAGATAAAATATTTCTTGTTGTTTGGAAATACCTCATACAACAGTCAACATTTAAAAATACTTATATTCTTAATTTTTGATGTGCAATTAACACATATTTTATTTTAGGCATTATAAAATGCAGAAAAATGAATTATGGGTTTAAGCAGTTATGTTTTAGAAAGAAAAGAAAAATAATGTTAAACTGTTCACACAGCAGAAGAAATGTCATGGAATTTAAAGACTGTATTTTAAAAAAAAGAAATAGAGATGATATTGAGGACTACTGTAGCTTGTTCTAATCACAGCAAGCATACTCACCTGAATTTTACTGTGGCTAAGACTAAAGGAGATTTAGAAATAACTGCAAACAGAATGGGTCCCAACCTATAAATCATTGGCCAAACTGACTGAAATAGCACTATAAGAGATACTTTATATCAGAATAACTGAAGGGAACTCTGAGTTTATACTGTAATAGAAATACTTATGAAATACAGATTTGAGATCTAGAACTGTTACCATTTTTTTCCAACTGTCTATCATTGGTAAAAATGATACTTTGCCAAAATCAAAAGAATCTTTAAAAGAAGAGCAATATTTATGAAATCTCTTTGCATTCAAGAAGCATTAGAGAGAAATGTCAAAATTTTCCAATTTTCTAATACTCCCAGTTTGAGATTTTCATATTGCTTATGAATGACTACTCAAAATTTGTTAAAAAAAATTACTCCAATGTTCAAACCCTCCCAAATTTCAAAACAGAGTATTTAAATTAACAATTTTCTTCCTCTAAATATTTTTCTTATAAAATACTAAAACAGTACTTTTGTACTGTTTTGACCTGGAAATTTTGCCATCACCAAAGGGTAAGTGGGATATCTTGCTGCATATGGAGCTATTGTTGTCTTTCAAGGTAATCAAGCAGGAAATCTGAGTTTCTTATGTTTAGTTTGTTGACCTGAATGGCGTGACCAAGACTACACAAAACTCAACCAGGTCTAGATAAAACGGCTATTACATTGAAAGGGAAAATGAGATGATTCAAGGCTATGAGAATAATACAACAGACTTATTTAGACTTGATTCCTGAAAAAAAACAATACATAGTCAATAAAATTGCAAGGACAATCTAAAAACTATATGGAATATGTCACATCTTACTAAGATCGGCTTTTGCCAGGCCTGCAAATCCCATTAAGTTTGTTACAAATACCAAAATTCTGTTACGTAGTAGCAATGCATTTTTTCCACAGAAAGTCAGGGTGAGCTGCTTTGAGGCTTTGAGGAGGCCAGAGAAGGCTGCATGGCAACATTACATTTTGAGGGTAATTGAAAAAGGAAGGGATTCTGAAATGAGAGCAGGACTTCAGTATGTTGCAAGTTTTCCACAAGGTCTGGCTGGATCCTCTCTCCACTCCACGGAGACCAGAAATTCAATCAGAGTATGTGACTCAGGCCCTTGCCCAGCCAAATTTTTAATATCTTCGGTAAAAGAAATCCCACAACTTCTTCGGATGCTCCTGTCTTTGGGATCCTGTGAAGCAGATTCCTGAACAAGTTCAAGTCTTCCCTTTTGAAA